AGAGACGGGGGGTTACAAGCCGGCCCTGGATAGATCTATCAATGAAAGCTGTTCTGGCTTGTGGGGGTGTTGTCGGGTCTGTCATGACTTTAAATGGAGGCTGACTGCTTTCCAGGCACCGCATTAACCCACTCTCTTTATACCCAGCCCACTTGCTGTGATAGGCTGTGCATGGGGAAAGAGCCCAGTGTGCCAACCTGCAAAACAGAGGCTTTTAGGACCCAGAAGCTTTTATGGTCTCCAAGCTGCTGGCTGCCTCTCATCCTTCACTGCAGTGGCTCTGTGCATCAGCTACAGTGGAGGAGCATCAGCTGAGTGGTACCTGGTACTCTGGAAACCTGCACAGGAAAGGTATGAGCTGATGCCTGGACTGGGGAGAGGGCCAGGCTGGAGACCTCTAGGCTAGGTGGTTGCCAGCATTTCTCTCTGCACCCCCAGGCATTTGGCATGCCTCGCTTGCTGGGTGAAACGCACAGAACCAAGTCCGCTCTCCTGATGGAAACTGCAAGGAGCCAGGATGGACCTGGAGACAGGCAATGGGGGTCCAGATGCCTGGGACTCGAGAATCCATTTTAACGGAGAGGCAAGGACCAGAGCTGGGTGGGGGCAGCCCTTCTGGAAGTCAGCTCAGCAGCACCAGCGCGAAGGAATGAACAGGGCCAGCCTGGATTTCTCTTGGCTTTCCTAATCCTGCTCTCTTCCCTTCCACCTCTGGGCAGGGCCTGCTGGGCAGATGCTGCAGCCCACTGCATGGGTGGGCAGTGCGGGGTAAGAGGGAGGGTGTGGGCACTGCCTGGGCCTGGAGATGTACATTGATATTGCACGGGGAGGGGGGCATTCGTAGAATTGATGGGAGGCTGCGAAGTCCCAGGGTGAGGGGAGCAGGGTGGAGACCTGCCTTGAGCAAGTACTGGGGGAACAGATCTGATAAGGGCAGGCTTTCAACATGGCACTCTGTGGGCGCCCACTCCAATGGGAGGCAGTCCAGCGTTAGGGGCTTAAGAAAGCAGAGCATCTCGTGTTCACAGGCCAGCTGGGGCCTTGCCATCAAGGATCTGAGCAGCAGGAAGGACCTGGAGCTCAAGAGCTGCTCCATCAGCCGCTGCTGTGGAGCTGTTCAAACTGTGGAAAGAGCAGGGAGTTGGGGTGGGGGCTGGTGCCAGCCAGGCAGGTATCCTGCATGCCTCAGTGCCCACGGCCAGATGTTTCACAGGAAGGGTTAAATGGCCCTGTTCAGTGCACCTGTCAGGCTGCACTGTCCCTTGGAAGCACAGAGGAGCTGATGCTCTGAAGCATGAAAATGGATAAGCATCTGATTCCAATCGGTGCCTCTGTGGGGACTGGGCCCAGTTGGTCCCTGGTGCCAGTGGGTGTGACTCCAGTGAGTTGAACGTAGACGCAGTGGCCTGCTGGAAGGCTGGGTCTGAGCTGCTGCTCTTACACAGATGCCTTTGCCTTTCTCGAACCTCAGCCCTTTGCCTCAAGCAGTGTCGCAGTGTTGGGGAGGCAGGGCAAGGGTATCTGCTG